GATGGTAGCGAGGAGTGGAGGAATGGCAGTACAGGCAGACCACACCACCGGCAGATAAAATGCTGAAGCTGCCATCCGCCTTCAGCACCCACTCACATAGTGGAGACTAAAAGGGGTAGGTGACCACGCGCACGAATTCAGAAAGAAAGCCAAACGTCTCCATCACCGTGGTATGGTGTGAAGGGCAAACACGGGAAACGAGTGTCAAGAACAAACGCGATACAAAACATGCAAACATAAACTAACGGGATATAAACTGGGATGTTCCGAGTCGCTTCTAGTGACCGCTTCTTATTTTATTTAGAGACGCTGTATAACAGGTGAGGCCACATACGGTAGAATGAAATTTAAATATATCCGATATTTTGAGGAAGTGATCATGGCCTTATTGCAAGATTCGTCTGCAGAGAAATGGCACACTTAATGACGGTCCCGCCACTGAGATCCGATGCATTTTAACGAAAAGGAGTCTGTTCAGGCAGTTCAACATTTGAGGCAGGGAAACAGTCACACACACATAACATACTCAGGCATCATTAACCATTCATTACAACTGATGTCTAAAAAGGCAAAGCTGCCCCTGTAACAGGCCGTGAATGCCCATAGAGGTGTGAGAGGTCGAGGCTCCAACAGTCTATAGACAGTCGGCTCACAAACGGCGGTAAGGTTGTCACCCTTACGCGCCCGCCGCCCTTTACCCCCCAGGAATCTTCCTGGTACTCATTGCTGTTAGAGGCTGAGTCGACCACAGGACCATTGTGCGGCTGGATGGAATAGATACACCGAAAACAACCAATTACCTCATCAGGAATCGAACCCGCAACCTTCCGGTTTGTAGAATAGTGCTTCAACTAACTACGCCCTTGCTGAGAGTGTACGGCGATGATATTCAAAAAGTGAACATTCATAATGTAGAATGATTTGTCTATTTGTGCAGATAGTGTCAAATAATGAATTGTAACTGCAAGTAAGGTCACTGAAGCAGCGGGTTACGAACCATGGCGTTCCTTCTGTGCTGCCTAAGCAAGGCCCAATACGGGGCCGCGCCACAGCTCAAGCGGTTAGTCGCTGGCTTCCCACCGCGGCGGCCCGGGTTCTATCCCGGGTCTGGTCAAGTGGGATCTGTGGTGGACAAAGTGGCGCTGGGGCAGGTTTTCTCCGAGTACTTCGGTTTCCCCTGCCAATCTTCACTGCACCAATTGCTCCACAATCACCCTCACCTATCATCTGGGGCTGGTACAACAGGCCAGAAGTGGCCGCAGTACAAGGCCCAGTACCACTGGGACAATTCTCTTGCTAAATGCCGTTACAATTACAGCTAGTCAGCACAGAAGCCTGAGACTCTGCGAGTGTTGACGGCATCGACATCATTACATTCATGGGAGCGAAGCCACGGGAATCGGCTTAATTAATTTCGCACATGAAATATCTGAATGCGCCTCAAATATTATGCTATACGTACAATTCCTATCCTGTTTGTTAAATCGCCGCTATAGCTTGGACGAGAACGTTTTCACTTCGTACGTATCACGTTTCTTTCCTCCTTTTCAATACGATGTTCTGTCCTCGCTACTGTCAACCTTCATTTTAAAGTTTACTGGTGTATTTCAGGATGCTGTATCAACTACTGTGGTTATGCAAAATGATAGAATAACTATGGATGGTGACTCCAGAAGTACGAGTATGTCAAGGGACGGACTGGTGATGGTCACGATTCTGACCTACCCGTACATCCGTAGAAACCTAGGAAACCCACCTTAACATCTATTATGACACAGGTATCCCGACAGAAACTCGAAGCACCTCATATCGCTCTGAGAAAGCTTCAGCTACGCATTAATCTGTCCAAACAACATGTTGAAATCACACACATACAGTATATTTGCATGTATGCGTGTGTGTGTGTGTGTATTGTTATGGACTGCTACAGCTGGGATAGCTGAGTCGGCATAGCGACGGGCTACAGGCTGGATGGCCATGGTTCGATTCCCAGCAGGGCAAAGAGATCTTTCTTTCCTCCATAGCGTCCAGACGAGCTCTGAGCCCCACTCACCCTTCTTATCGAATGGGTATTTCGGGCTTTCCCCGTGAGTAAAGCGGTCAGGACGTGAAGCTGACCACTCACCTCAGTCTGATGCCCATGTCAAAAATGGTGCAGCTATACCTCCATTCCCCAATATGACTTAATGACCTGGAGCTTAATTAATTACGCACAGGGGAAAAAAACTCAGTAGCCTGTAGTCCGCAAGCGAACTATATCGACCGAGCGACCGCCGCTTGTCGCCGAAGTTAGTGTAAACTTTAGCGGATAGAGGGTGTCGCGTGGTCAGCGCAACGGGTTCCCGCGGCCGTTAATCTCGGTTTTCTAGACCGGAGCCGCTATTTCCTTGAAACAGCTCCTCAATTATCCTCACAAGGCAGGGTGGACCCCGTTCCAGAACCACTACTTCTCATAAAATCTGGCAGCGCCGGGAATCGAACCTGGGACCTCTGGATCTGTAGCCAGTAACTCTGAACCCTAGACCACAGAGAAAGCTTTACCTTTGTTATGGACTCTTAGCTTCAGTTGGTAAGATTCTAAATTCAAGGTAAGTGCTTATTTATCAGGATCTCCTTTGTGTAAATAAATATTTAAAGAAAGTCTATTCATAACTATTTCTACTGATCAGCAACATTCATTAAAAACATATAAACAGCATTCCCAGTGAAATCCAAGATTTCCTTAACAGCTGATCACTGCAACTGTATCCACATTCCCTGCACCCTAACAGCAGACCTATGTACTGCTACTGCAACTAACACATTTAGAAATAGGCTAGGCATAATAGCTTAACCTCCTGCAGTGATGACAGTATAAGGTGGAAAAACATACAGAAGTTGAAAACTTGCTGCTGTGATGAGACTGTTTTGAAGAAAAATACCAGATTCAAATACCAGAAACTGTTCTGAACAAAATAAAGGCCTCAATTTCCAAAATAAAATTTCAATATGACAGTTCAGTACAGAAAATGAACTGAACTTAATCACACAAATGCTTCAACAAATATTTTTGACACCCTTCAATTGAAAATAAAAGTTGGGAAAAGTGTCATATCCAGGGAACACTCCCATCTTTCCACTCAACATGCTAAACCTAACTTAAAAGTTGGCCAAACTCATGTAACCCACTGGGAACTGTTTTCCCTACACTGAAACCCTGGAGGCATTTGATGCTTGGACTTACTATTCCTGATCATAACCTATGACAGATCTTAGGTTCTTAAGGTATGCATTCCAAGATGTGACCCATGCAGTTTGGTAGGCAGGTATCTACTTGATTATATGACACCACATGCCAGAAGACAGGAATCACATTTACTTAATTTTACCTGTCACAAATTTGTTCTTAAATCAAAACATATGTAGTCCACCAATAACACATGCCAATGAATCAGTAGTTAACATCAGAAAGAATACTCACACATTGACTCATGCACGTTTTTTTATTAAACACTGAACAAATTACAGCAAATACATGCAAATACCATTCTCTGTCACTCAGTATCAATTTTTTTGAAGATGGGATATACTGAACATTGAATGCATTCACGAACTATCACACAATATGTTTTATTACCTAACAACCGTCCCCCAACCACCTCTGAAAAAAACACCATTTAGTTAACTCACTATGAAACTACTTATTAAAAGTGTTTTGCAACCTAATTGGTAATACAGGTTATTCATTCTGTAAGTGCCATATGAATATACGGCTTCCCCCAAAAGTAGGGTTCCCAGATACCCCGTTTTCCCAAGATTCTTCCGTTTTTTCACCCAAATTTTGTCCCTCCGTTTATTGTTTACCCAGAGTGGATAATTCTCCGTTTTTTTATTTAAGTCCACTGCGAATTATATTTCATGGGTTAAATATTATCATAACATTTCTGTAATCCTTGGAAAATGACATTGTTATAGTTTCTTTCGTTATGTTTCATTTCGCGAATGTTGGCAAACACTTGAGGTTCTAAACCAAAGCAGAATATTTTGTGCATTCTATAAATATGTAATAGGGCTACGTAATATTTGTTTTGTTCTATAAATGTGTAGTAGGCCTATGTAATACAGATGTGTAGTAGCATTTTGTAAGTTATGTAGTATGTTGATTATGTATATTTTATAGCTTATTAGTTGTGAAAAATGTCGTTATAAACAAGCAACGACACATCACTCCTTTCTTTTTATTTTACAAAATCTGGCAACCCTACCCAAAAGTCAGTGTCCCTCAGTTAAGAAATCTTTGGCTATAAAAAATTACAGACTTGTACAAGGATTCCTCTAGAGGTAGAAGGTATACAAAATAACAAACTGGTTAGACTCTTTTATGTCAAGAGATTGTTTCCAGTTAACGTCGACTACGCTGGCATATAAAAGATGTAAATAGCCGAATGCATGAAACAATACTGCGTGATTTAAGGAAACAGTTCTTGCGATAACCTAAATATTTATTCCTCTTGAAGTAAAGACATGAATCAGCAATGATAAGTTTTATTTCGTTCTAATTAATGACGTGCATGACTGAACGACAGGCTGTTGTTTATTGCCAGTCACGCCACACTGCCTTGGATGTAAACAACAAACCAATTTTTAGTTCAAAAGGCGGTAAATGCATCAAGACTTGTTTCTACAATAGCAAGAGATACATGGAAATTACTCACTTGTGTGCCCAAGAGCGCTTCCAGCTTGGCCCATCTCAAGACATATTCAGCAACACACCATATGGGCCGATCGTTCAAGTCTGAAACTACTATTAGTCTACACTGTTAATATGCCAGATTACTGATGCTGGATAACCTGTCAAAATGTTTTTAACCCGCTGCAAGATGGCAAAAGGTTCTTCACCTTCGACTTCTAATTTTCTCACCCGGAATGTGTGGTGCCATCTGTGGAGAACACAGTGTAGACTGTTCTCATCATTCCATTGTTTTACAGCTGATTGTAACAATATGGTGGTATGTTACAGGTGCTTTAAATGACATAGCTAAAAAGCCGGCATTATATAATGTCATTATTGCAAGTATTCGATAATGCCATCGTTTGTGACTTACTTACAATAATAGTTTAATAATGTGTATATTATAACATAATTAAATAAAGTATCAATGTTCATAAGATTTTGGTAAATGAGCTGATTAAACGGAATCGTGCCCAGGAATTCAGCCATATTAGATTCTATCGATTACCAACATTGCCTTCGTTAATTTACTAGCTCTTTTTTTACCCTTGGGCATTTTGTCAATTTCACCACAGTTTCTGTATAACAGGTAACTTTTCGTAAGAATTATAGTTGTTACAGTGTTTTCGTCGGCAGATAGTAATTTTACAAGACGTTAGGCATCTGTACAAGATAAATATTCGTTAACACCACCCACTATTAATTCATACTAAGTGGATGTCGAAGTTCCCGGCCATGTCTAATGTGACTTTTTTCTTTCCATAATGACAGATGTAATCGTATTGTAAATGCTGCCCTAAATCTAGCATTGAACATTGAATCTGTAAATACTTTGAAACAAGGCTAGAAGGGTACCAACGTTTCGGTGGAACATAGTGACTCCATCTCCAGAACTGAACCGTTAAGATGGTTAAGACGGTGGCAGTGGGTCTGTTTTCAGGGTTAAACCCAGGAAATGAAGGCAGTATGTTTCCCTATAATGTTGCTAGTTATCTACCCAGAAGACCACAACATGAATTTTATAATTAACTGTGACAAAGTGCCTAGTTTATTTTGAAGCCATTCATCGTATGATAATCATATTCAGTGTCCTTTTAGTCCTGATGTTCGTAATGTAAACAAGACATTCATCATCCCCATAGACTAGGTTTGCCTGTCAGTATGGGAAGTGGTTCAGTATTATTTACAGATTTATATAATGTATCAGGACATTAACAATTTAAATTGTGATAGGATATACATTTGTATTGCTATTCCTTGCAGTTTAGTTGAAGTGTTAGCAGTGTTACAGATATAGTGTGTTGTAGATTTTGGACATGGCTAGACAACGTAAACCCCTTCCTGTAGATCATATAAATCCAAAATATTTAAAAAAGAGTCAAACACAAAGCAGGAAGGAAGGAAGAATTTTTTTGTACTGGAAACAAGGCATGGCATTTATTTGTCTTCTAATTGCTGGAATAATAGCATACATGGGGTACTTGGAAACACGTGTTAATACACCATTTGATGAACAGAAGGTATGTACAATACCCATAAATATCATTAAGTGGTTTTGCATAATATTTGCTTCTATTACACAGAGTCACTGCAAACACGTATTTTTGTAGGTGGTGATAAAGTCTGGTCTAGATGTTCCTGATCGTTACTGGGGGAGTTATCGTCCAGGTCTGTACTTTGGAATGAAAACAAGAGATCCTTATTCTCTTGTCTCTGGCTTGATGTGGTACTTCCCTCGTCAGCTGCGACCAGATGGAGGTGGAATAAGGTGTTGATTCCTGTCACAGTCTGTGAATTTGACATAAGCACTTTTGTAATTACTTTCATCATTTAAGTTCTTGTACATATTTTGAGATTTATTGAATGTCACATAACAAAAAAGATCTAAAAGAACTCTTCATCAGATTTGCTGAACTTCTGCTCAGGGGTTTGAGGGGTGAGAAGTGGCAGCTGCTAGGATGCTGTAAATATGTGCTGCTTTGTTCTAACAATCCAAAAGAAAACATACCTTGTTAATACAATTATTGAGTTTTTGGACATTATTCATTGTCCTGTTTTTGTATTCAAAACAGTATGTTTCAGGGACTGGATTTTGTCTTTGTCTTCAGGTAAAAGCCTACTGAGCTAGGCCCAGTTGATAGAGCAAGCCCTCATCTCCAGACACCAGCACCAACTCAAGATAGGGTATATAAACAGAACACAGCATAAGCCATCAGTGAGAGCTAAGACAAACATTAAAAACTCGACACACATGAGGCCCAGTACCCATGGCCAAGGTTTATAAAATCAGAGTAATGTCAAATTGCCTACAGAGAGAGTCTTGAGCTCCAGATGATCAGTGTTTTCTGTCAGGTGCAAACCTGTTGCACTGAATTTATTTCCACAAAAGAACTATGAACTACAGAACTCAGGAAAACTGATGCAGACAGTAATTAATAATACCTATAACTTTGGTCTAGTATTGAATATGTATAATTATTACTGTAAGAAGTGCCTAAGATTTTCTGAAAAGTAGTGGGTCAGGAATGGGGTCCACTCAGTCTTGTGAGGATAACTGAGGAACTATTTCAAGGAAATAGTTCTGGTCCAGAACACCAAAATTAATGGCCATGGGGATTTGTTGTGCTGACCACATGACACCCTCTGTGTGCTAGAGTTGGCACTAAATTCGCCAACAAGCGGCGGTCGCTCGGTTGGTATGGTTCACTTGCAGACTACAGCCCCTGGAGAAATGCCTATGAATTCTTTTATTTTCTGACACATTTTTAATAAAATGCATATCACCTTTTAAATTAAGCATACCTCCCTGCCTTTCTCCATGAAATAACTAGATAGAGTTTGGTAAAATTTGTTGCAGGAAACCTATAGTAATACCTGTTTAACAAATATGAGGGTTGGAACTTTAATAGTGGCAACTATTTATTTACTACTGATACAACATAGATGCACGTTTCGAAGTTTTACTGTCTTTCAATGTAGTCACCAGCATTGTGTACAGCCTGTTGTCAGCGATGTGGAAGTTGTAGGATACCTTTAATAGCGCCTGTTGTGTTGATAGTTCGAATGGAGTGGTCTACTGCCTGAAGATTCTCTGGAACAGTTCTGAAGGGAATGCCACAAAGTGGTTCCTTCATCTTAGGAATTAAGTTGAAAACACAAGGGCTTAAGTCCGGGGAGTATGGTGGATGGTACAGCACTTCCCAGCCCCATCGATCGAACAAATCAGCCACAGCTTGTGCTGCATGCGGCCGAGCATTATCCTGCAAAATGATAGGTTGGTTCTGCAGAAAGTGTTGTCGCTTGTTTCTCAAAATTTGTCGCAGGTTGTGTTCCAAAAATGAACAGTAATACTGTGCATTGACGGTCTGCTGTCAGGGAACGGTATGCGTTAGGATAACACCATCACAGTTGTACATGAGAATCACCATAACTTTCACATTGTTGTGGTTCTGATGAACTTTTGATTTTCGTGGTGACCCGTAATGACGCCATTCATTTGATTGGCATTTCATTTGTGGCGCATACAATTTGGCCCTTGTCTCATCCAGCTTAATGATATGCCATAAGAAAGCCTCTCCTTCACGCTCATAGCACTGCAGTGGTTACAAGCAGCGTATCATAGCCATTTCTGCATTTCCGTCAAATCATGCAGAACCCATTGTGATGCAATTTTTCTCATGCCCCGGTGTTCCTTCAGAATGTGAAGCACAGTCGTATGCGCAAATCCTGTCTCTCGGGCCAGCTCACGAATCATATGGTGTCGATCACTCTCAAGTAACACGGAAAGAGCATACACTTCTTCTTCGCTGACACTAGGATGACCTGGCCAATGCATGTCTGCCACATTTTGCCATTCCTCGTTGAAGGCTTTTACCCACCTTGCCACTGTTCTGTAAGGCAATGCAGATTCCCTGCAAGCCTCTTGAAGACCATGATGACACTGTCGTGCTATATGGCCTCTGGCACATTCAATCTTTAGCAAACTCCGTTGTTCCTGTTTCAAAAACATCGTAACAACACTACATTAGACCGCCAGCTAACACGAGGCTCTGTTCTTCTCGTCACTGCGCATGCGCGTGATGTGGGAAGGGAGAGTCCATTTGCTCTGATGTAAGGTAGGTATGTAACTAACATGTGGTATAAGCGACATTATTTGTTTCCGTTGCATGGCATCTCTACAGCAGTGTCTACACTATTAAAGTTCCAACACTCGTATCTATTTTAACCCACCACAGTTATTAGTGCTGTCAACAGCTGAAGATGAATACTGTATCTTCTTGTTCAATTCCTAAACTATTTGACTGTTGTTCTGTTGTGATTAATCTACACAAGAATGTGTTAAGAAATTTAAATGTTAGTTCAAGACCAGTCTGTCAGTATTGCTAGATGGTAAGGATGAGTGTCCTACTGTGGCTGAATTTATTTTTTACCCTCTGTGTTCTTATTTATATATCATACAAATCATGACAGACATTTCTAGCAGTTCATTTCGCATGTACTTTGAAATAACCTGATTCATATCTTGACCAGCGTTGGTTATCTGTGTTGATGTTAGTTTTTTTGCCTATTTCACTCCTTCCTGAATTTTGTGACTGCAGAAACTGTTCTGTCTTAAAGTGCAACTGATACCCACATAAAAATGCAAGTATACAGAAAGTATATAAATGGAGCAGTTACATTTTTATTGCAGTTAACTGTAGGAAAACACTATATGTTGAATTAAGCAATCTGATCTTATGTTAAACTGCACATTCAGTTTTCCCTTTTGCATTGTTTGAAACCAGAAGTACTTTTGTTACAGTTTGTAAGCTGTTATAATCAGTCTTAAGGGAATAAGAAGCAAATTTGTGAAAAACAACTTTTGTTTCTTACATATTATTTTCAATTGACAGACATTGGTGTGAGGATGGAGATAATCTGGGTCGTTATGGCTGGTTGGAACATGATGGACGAAATTTTGGACTTCAAGAAATAGAAGATGGCCCATTTAATATCACTGTATCTTTTGTGAAAAGGCCTGGTGGAAACCATGGAGGAGACTGGACTGCAAGAATCAGTGTCACAACCCAGTACAGTCACCTGCAAGATGAACTCATTTCATTTCTATTATATTCAGCAACTGAAGAAAAGACTAAGGGTTGGATTAAGCCAGAACATTTTCAAAATGGACTGTTTATGGGAGTAACTGGGGAGACAGAGGGATTGGGAGCATTTGCTCTAAAGCTGTACAATCATTCTGGTCAAGTGGAAAGTGAATCATATCTTAGCACAGTTACTCAGGGTCTTCATGTGCTGAAAGAGACTGTGTTCTCATCCCTGCGGCTGGTCACAGATCACCAGAAGGGTAATCGGAGACATATTGTTTTGCCAGGAGAATTACTTCCATCATCTGGTCCTGATGGTAAGAGAGCAGAACCAAACTTCGTGGTCACACAGGTAACAGCCCGAGTGCCATTTGAACTCGACTTCGTGTTTGAATCTGGAAGTTTCATGGATCGACCAGGAAGCCTTACTGGGGATGCCTACACCAGAGAACTGAGCTGGCATCGCAGTAATTTTCACAATAGATTTGAAGAAACATTCAAATTACAAACAAAAGGGTACAACACTGATGAAGTTGTTTTTGCCAAAACAGCTTTTAGTAACTTGCTTGGTGGTGTGGGCTATTTCTATGGAGCATCAAGGGTTGAGTCACCATACACAAGAGGTCCAGTACCATACTGGAAAGCACCTCTGTATTCTGCAGTTCCATCAAGGAGTTTCTTCCCAAGAGGATTCCTGTGGGATGAAGGGTTTCATGGTCTTCTGATATCATCCTGGGATCTGGATATAGAATTAGACATCATCAGCCACTGGTTTGATCTCATGAATGTAGAAGGTTGGATTCCAAGAGAACAGATTTTGGGGCAGGAAGCTCTAAGTAAAGTTCCAGAACAGTTTGTGACACAGAGAAACAGTAATGCAAATCCACCAACTTTTTTTCTGACTTTTCACTTTATACTTCAGAATTTTGTAGACAAGTTGACAGAAAATGGAGGTCATTTAGGGACTCTAGAACGACTCTACCCTCGACTTCAGGCATGGTTTGATTGGTTCAATGTGACTCAGATTGGTGACATGTCTGGAACATATCGGTGGCGAGGGAGAGATGCTACCACAAATAGGGAATTGAATCCTATAACTTTAACATCAGGTCTAGATGATTATCCACGAGCTTCTCACCCAAATGTAGATGAACGTCATGTAGATCTTCGCTGTTGGATAGCACTGGCAGCATCCACAATGTCTGAAATTGCTAGACTTCTTAACTTAAATGGTCAGAAATACAGCAACACATATGGGTATCTAGCAGACAACAATTTGTTGGATGAATTACACTGGTCTCCAAGGACCCAGGCTTACTCAGACTTTGGTCTGCATACTGATGCTGTTGTCCTCAAACGCCCTCCACCTCCAAGGTCTCCTCCAACAGGATATCAAATGCCTCAGAATCCTGATAAAATTCGTGTGGTACTGAAGGATCCAGAATTGCGTTTTGTTGATTCCACCTTTGGTTATGTAAGTCTCTTCCCTTTTCTTCTGCAAATTTTGGAACCAGATTCACCCAAACTTAACAAGATATTAGATGACTTAAAAAGTACAGAACTGTTATGGACAAATTATGGTTTACGTTCACTAGCAAAAACAGCACCATTGTATATGAAGCGAAACACAGAACATGACCCACCTTACTGGCGGGGTCCAATCTGGATTAACCTCAACTACATGGTGGTCAGAGCACTCAATCACTACAGCAAGGCAGATGGTCCATACAGCAAGAAAGCTAAGACAGTCTATCAGGAACTGAGGCAAAATTTGATAAAGAACATCATCAAAGAATATAAAAGAACAGGGTACATCTGGGAGCAATATAATGATAAAACAGGAGAGGGGCAAAGGTCACGACCATTCACAGGCTGGTCATCTTTAGTCGTTTTAATGATGGCTGAAATATATTAATGCATGTAAAGCACTGTTTACATTATATTTTAGCCTGCTCAGGATAGGGTCCAGTGGCTGTGGTTCTTATGAACAACATGGTAATGATCCTCTGGGTTGCACAAAAGGCATGGAATTTCTTGACTCTCTGCGTATCAGCCTTTCAAGATGGATCAGCTCCATGGAATTTGTTAATTTTGGTGTGAAGTTGGGATGTGCTGGGTTACTTCAAACATTGAGTTTGGTTTCTGCTGTTATGTGAAACAATGAAGCAGTTTCATTCTCCATAATTGTATGTTATTGTTGTATTCATCCTTCAGTTCTGTACCTCAAAACTGCCTTTAATTGCAAACTTATCCAAAAGTTGATGTTTCTCTTTAGATTCTATAAAATATTGTTACAGAAAGTCTTAAAACCAAGGGTACTTAAAATATTGACTGAAGAGAATAGTGATAATAATTAATATTCTTTCTAGTGCTCAATACTTATGAATATTAATATACATTAAACTTTGCATTGGGAACAATGTGTTGTTGTAAGGTAGTTCTTAGTACACTGATTACAAATGTATCAGAGGAAATGTTGCAATAAGGGCTCATTGGCTGTAAATACCCTAATTACTTATGTGTTTGTATTTATAGAATTGAGGCTATAAAATGTAGTTCATATTTATAGTGATTTAGACATTGTTACCAAAATCAAACTGCATAGCACAGAAATTTGTGTATTGATCAGTACCTTGAGAGTGATTTCTATGTTGATTTTGTAAAGAAAAGAAGTTAACATGTGATGCCCCTAAGATTGAGGGCGTCTTAGTTATGATGCAATGTAGTTCTGCAGCTGGTTACTAGTATTTCAGAAGAACATGTCTCCATCATCTGCATTCTTCCTTGTAAGTACTACTGTACATCACTACTACACAGAGCCATAACCAAGAAGACCACAGTCTTAATCTTCAGCTTGTAAAAAAATGCTAACACATGATATCAGTGACTACACTACTGAATGTGCACATGGTCTTACAGATAGGCTAACAAACACTGAGTTTGAATGCAACATAGGGTAGAAATGTTTGTGTGAGATTTTCATCACTGCCAGTCACTTCATTCATCACCACCCCAGTCTGTGGTTTCTGCTGTGGGCTGGATCTTATACAGACAAATAGCCTTAGAAATGATTCCCATCCAATAAATTTGGCAAGAAACACCGAAAAAGGAGAATAACACTGAAATATTTTGAATAATGCCACTATACATGATGCTTGGCCTTTTCCTTTTCATTGTGTTTATATTTTTGTGTCTTTTGTAGATGTTTGTGACATTATTCCCCATCTGAGAAATATATTCTGCAGAGCATTTACAGTCTGGTGTAATATAATTGAAGATGCTATGGATGTGTGTGGCCAGAGCAATATGTTAATCCATTTCAGTGGAGACTACTGTTACAAAATCAAAGAAATTTACTTTGTGTTATTCCATGGATCAGTATTAATAGTTTTAAATATTTGGGTACAAACTGAAGTAGTTCACTATCTTTCATTGTCATACAAAGTTATGGGAAACATTTCAGCATACCAGTGTATGAGTATTATACTTGACATAGTTTATCAGTAAGTCTATGGCAAAACTATGTAGAATATTATTCTACACTATTTCCAAATCCCATAAATTTATGTGCTCCAGTATTGTATAGTAAACAATAAGATGTGCATTGGCAATTGTATGCAAACATATGACCATCCTGTTCTATATTTCTTTACCTTTGGGATTCTGTCAATATAAGACACGTGTAAGTACGGTTTTCAATAATTTTGAAAATTTCTTGTAATTCTCAAAGTTCTAATATGAGGTTCTATTGGATAGTTCCTGGGCTAGATCAAAAAAGAAGTGCTGGCTTAATTTACTCAATTTTGGATGCCATCACCTTCAAAATAGTCTCCTTGGGAATGATTTATTCCAGCCGTCTTACGGTGCATACACTCATCCACCTCACTCTTCACTCCTGCACTACATGTTTCGGCACAAAGGTGCCATCTTCAGGTGCTTATCGATTTACGTTAAACTACTTCACTGCATGTCTTGCTGTCTTCATACTAAAGTAACTAAAATATATGTTCATCATTATATTGAAAAATATTAAATATTAAAACTGTTCAGGATTTTTTATCCCTACGTCGCATCTCAATACGCGAGTCACACCTATCCTCTTCTATCGGAGCACTCTTCCTACTTTCGTGTGTGTATTGTGCTTTGTGTTGTGTCTTGCTCCTGTGACTGCATACATTCCTTGGGAATGTATACAGCGATCTCACAATATTTCCCATGCTTCAGAAGCACCATGGAAGTCATTTTCCTCAGTGTCGTTGAGTACCGCTTGCAATTCCCTTTGGATATCGGACACTGTTTCAGAATGTTGTCCCTTCAGTTTCATTTCCAACCCTGTGGTTTTCAGGAACATGTGGGTGGGTTCGTTGTTGTGATGGACAATGTGGTTCATATTCAAATTTTCTGTTAAGATCTTCTGGAAAACTTCATAACTAATCCCAGCAGTGTCTGCAAGCTCATGGATTGCTTGGCAATGGTCTTCATTGATAAGTTCTTGAATTTTTTCAACATTTTCTGTCATTTTGCTGGTGCTTGATTGCCCCAGACGTCTGTCATCTTCAACTGACACTCAACCTGCCTTGAGACATGAATGCCATTCAAAAACCACCGTCTGACTCATAGAGTGTTCTCCAAACATCTCATGAAGCATTTCCAGGCTTTCAGTAGTGGATTTACCGAGCTTCACACAAACTTGATGCAGACACATTGCTCAATTTTGCCATTCATTGCAGACAAAACGAAACACAAAGTTGATAAAGCACTCATGTAAAATAAATGTGCATTCACAACATGGTGTCATGTGGCAGACTGATGCAATAGGCTTTTGGAAGTATGACCTTGGCCTCCCCTCTCATAATCTTTCACTGAGGCAGTTACAACAATAATAGTCCAGGAACTCTCCAATACCACCTCATATGTAATTTTTCATTTACAGCCCTACACGTGTCATTATCAACATATGCTACATAAATATGATAACTACTGACATCTTCAAAAATTTGAGAGGGATAATATCTTGAAATTAGGAGACATGTCAAGTGTCAGTGGAATCGCATGATAATATTTACCAATGTGTTCTCATTCAAATTTCAACAGAAGCACTGTGACATAATGCACTTACATAATATGATAATGTACTTCACTATAATATTAGCAGACTTTCTGGTATATCCATTATAACATTTCACTCCACCAGTCATGAAAAATATTTTGTACTAGACAAGTGAAAACTGGATAAGACATAAACATCAAATCTGATGTGTACATTGATATGCTGATGATTTCTGTCACAGTATTGTATTTGTACTATTGTATGTGTCCAATTGGTTGTGTTTAAGTTAAGGCATTTACACTGATGTGATACACATAAGTTACTTGGTTTCCAGCCCATCCCTATTTCGGTATACATCTTTGCTGATGGCATTATTACTTTTATAATCTTCATAATAACACATAAACATGAGATTGCTGATGGATACAATTTATTGATTGTCATGGCCATTGATATTCAAATTATGAAGGGATCAATATACTTGTCTGTAATTGGATGTTAACCCTTTCACTGCCAACCCAGAGTATAATTGTTATGTAGACAGGGTGTCTTCTGTGCTAACCCTCACAATACTTGTTTAGTTTTGCTCATTACATCGGTCCTTAACACATTCATACTATATGAGAGCTTCAAAGAATAGGAGCACAAAAGCAATACAGCCAAAATATTGGTACACATTACCTGTTTGTGCATGGCAAGACGTGTGCGCCCCCTGTACTCAACAAAGTTGTTCAATTCCTATTAGACTAGCAGGCATGTCAGCATAATATATCACGTATATGAGTGACTATGGGCCATACTTTATATCTCCATATTACAGACACACTAGTGTCCACAGTCATGTCTTCACCACTGTTGCTTGGTGGCGGCTTCCAACAGCAGACATCCCCCTTCCTCTGGGTTCATGAATGGTCCTTGGCCTCAGCTACCAGCTTATGACAACTGAACCACAGAAGTCCTCCAACTCACTATCACCAGCCAACAAACTCAAAGTCAAAATCAAAGTCACATTGCAACTGATGGTCAGTAAGTCATGGTATCAAGGCCCATCTGAAGCTCATGACCAGATATTTATTATTGCTTGACAGTTATGATCTTGTTTTTGTGGGGCGCCCTCTCTGACAAGAGGACAGGTCTGTCTTTTATATATTCTGCTGGTAATTGCTGGTGTAGTCCTCCGGTCCGAGTCCCTTGGGATTTGTGACCATATTTTACTGTCTCAGATTTGAGACTTCCCTTTTGTCACCTCCTACTACTCTCAGGGTCACGGAGGAATTCCATCATGCCTCCACATGGGTATCCAACAAACTCAAAGTCAAAGTCACATTGCGACTGACGGTCAGTCAGTAAGTCTTGGTTTCGAGCCCCAGTATTTATTACTGTTTGACAGTTACATTCTTATTTTTGTGGGGCACCCTCTCTGATGAGAGGACGGATCTGTCTTTTGTATATGCTGCTGGCCCTTGCGAGCACAGTCTTTCTTGGTTCTGAGTCCCTTGGGACTCGTGACCATATTTTACTGTCTCAGATTCGAGACCTCCCTTTTTGTCACCTCCTATTACTCGCAGGGTCATGGTGGAGGTATTCGACCCCGCCTCCACACGGGTATGCCAACAAACTCCAAGTCCAAGTCACATTGCAACTGACGGTCAGTGCCTTTACCAGATTAATATACCAAGATGTAGAAACAACATGAAGACCAGGGATGAGTTAATCAACATAGCAGATGGTGATCTGAACTTTGAGTAAATGTCATCTGAGATTCCAGAACGTCATGTTTCCTGTACAATCTCAAAATATACAACAATCCTTCATTGCTTCATGTACATATTGCCATCGTCACAAAGAGTTATGACATTCTGCCAGCGTCACTTGAAAGAGAAGGTGGCCTTTGAAGTTTTGTTTTCTGGAAGGGCATGGTACATCAAAAATTATTTCCTGAGGGTTTTATAGTCAAGAAAAATAAGTATAAGGATGTGTTCAGTCATCTATGGGAGGAAGTTTGACTGAGGCATCCAGAAATGTGATTAGCCAAACACTCAATGTGTTCCTCCATGACACTATCCTGCACATTGCCTGGTACTGTGGTGCTTCCCTAGCCATTGTACTCTCTTCATTCTGCAGCATATGGTGTTCATGAAAGATCACTTCAAGGATACAGTGGAAATTCAAGGGACTTCAAAGATTGAATTGCAGGAAATCATGTGGCGGTAGCTTTCAGAAATGTTTTTTGATAACTGTAAGAACATTGACAGATGTGTGCAGCTGCTGAAGTATTATATTTTAAATGTAACTGCACCTGAAGGCTTCTTAGTACCACAAGCCTGTAATCTTTTCAAGCTGCCACATACTGTGAGTAGAATTCATATACCCACAAGGCATGTGCCATACGAAAGGAACAATAAAACTGAAATAATCTGACAAAACAGTCACATACAATTTGAAATACTGATTTCAACTGTGATTGTGGAAGCCACTTCTTGAGTTACCTACATTTAGAGTCACCATGTCTTTCTGTCCAATCTTTTTTCCCCCCAAATATTACATTATAGAAAGAACTGGTGGTGATAAAAGGTGTTCCTCATGGAGGGACAGCCCTGGAAAGCTGTTAATTTTGCTTCTATAGGCATGGATTCAAGTCTGAGCCAACAGATTTTTCTACTTCCTCTATAAAAAAGGAAATGAGATCATTGCTAAGATACAGGGTAAATCACACAGTCTTCAGCCATTATTAGGATACAGGGGAAACCCCAGGTTTCTTCCATTTCTGTTTGGATCTGCTGTAGCTAGGATATGGGTAAAGCCTCAGACAATCTTCTGCTGTTGCTGAGATATGGAGGGAAAATCTAACATATCTCCTGCTATTGCTAGATATGGGAGAGGGATGATGATAGAATGAGAATGTATGGTATGGGAAGGGAGTGTGGGAGAAAAATGGAAGAATTAGATGAAGGTGTAAAGTAAGTAAAGGTATCCCTGTAACAGACCGTAGAGGCCCATAGGGTTGTGAGATGTTGAGTTTCCCACATTTTCTAGACAATCAGCTCATAGATGGCAGTAAGGTTGTCAGCCCGATGTGCGGGCCACCCTTAACCCCCAAGAATATTCCTGGTACTCATTTCTGTTAGAGGCTGAGTCAACCCCAGGGCCATAGTGCGGCTGGAAGGATTAGATCAATTGAAAAAAATCCAGTGACCTCATCAGGATGAAGGTGTGAAATGGATAAGGTGCAGAAGAATGGGGGTGAGGGAGATGTTTGAACTTGGAGAGGGAGGCAGGAAGGAGGGGAGGGAATGGTTATTGACATAATGTATTTTTAGTACATAGTGTATAAGGTGGTTTAGCCAGTAGGGGGTTATTGGGTGCATGAAATTTGAATTAGCTAATGGGAACTGGATAAAGATTAATGAGGGATCTGATAGTTACCCTGATTTTTTGCATAGTTTAGTTGCTACTGAGCAGAACACAGTTTGTAACAACATGGGCTGCATTCTTCTGAAAAGAAAGTTATAAATCAGGTTAATTAAATTAACATGAAAATTAAATCAGGAAATGCATTCAAAATTTTGGGCAGAAAACCTAGGAATATATAGGAGGATAGTATTAATGCTCTTAAAGAAATAGGGTGTAATGGTGTGGACTGATTCACCCAGCTCTGATTAGAGACAAGTGGTGACCTCTTGTGAACAGTTAACATTTTGAGTCCCATAAAAAGGGCACAGAGTTTCTTAACTACATAGAAAACTATTAATTCCTCAGGAATTATGGACTTAGTTATTCCAGAATTAATGGGATTCTGAATAAACACACAAAGG